TAAATGACAAAGTTTCGAACACATTTTGTTGTTCATAAACATATCAACTATATCGTATCATCATTGGTATGTTTACGAACAACAAATTGTGTTCGAAACTTTTCCATTCAGTAAATAATACTGTTTTACTGTGTGATATATCTAACAAACAAATTGAAATGGGATAATGGGTTTAATTAAATGCTACAGACTGTACACTGTTGAAGACAAGTGACGAAATACAATGGATGCATGTTATTCTGCCTCCAATGTTTGTTGTGTTTACTTCCAAATTTAAGAATAAGCATCAGTCAATAGGAATTTTAGGTTACATGGTATTAGCAATTAAAATATGAATGTAAAATTAAAATTACAAATAATAGAAATAGTCTCAGTAATAAATGAATGCGATAGGAAGAAAGAGCCCCTTTATTGACTGTTTTGCAGTGATTTAGAAGTTTCATGTTAGATACTTTTTCCACCACATAAAATGCCTACCAAATAAGGCATCGTTACATCTTTGCACTTAATCTTCTAGGCATAAAGTTTCTTATCATTATTTCTATTCCTACCTGGTGAGATGGAGGGTGAGAATTGTGAATTAGGAGAGTGCTTAGAGTTCGGCCAGATGGTGTTTGCCTGATTTCTTGCATGAGCTGAAATGTTTGTCTACAACAATATGAATTAGTCCTTATAAATTTTTTAATTTTTATTCCTTTACGTTCCTAGTGGAACATAGGGCTTCAAGCTAGAGGCTTGAAGTTTCGGTAGCAGTGGAGTTTATTTTTATGGGATGGGGTCGCTAGCCTCATGCCCAACCTTCCCTCTTTACTAGTCTTATTACTAGCTTAGCGAGGTTTGGGAGTACGTCGGCTGGCGATCAAACCCCGGACCACATGAGTGGTCGGCAAGCATTCTACTGCTGTGTTACCGACGCAGTCCTTATATACTGACACGAAACCTTTATGTTATATAATTGACGCACGTATACACATCAAATTTCGACAGGTAAATCATTCTTTTCTAGCCAAAGTAACATGAAAATCGATCCAAACAATGTCTGATTAATTTTTATTGTATATAGATGTATTAGTGTGGCGTGTGCTATTGACAAGATTTATCAGAAGCATGTGAAGAGACATTCATTGGCACGAAAATATCAAATAGCGGAGTGACTGACTTGACGTCAAAACGAGTAAATGAACCAGTGTTACAGCAAAACATGGGAGACAGGAAAAGATGACACAATACGAAAGGCAGAAGTAGCAAAACATGCAAGATGTGTGCAAATTATGGTTTTCAGATTAGGTGTTTATAATTTACCTACATAGAGATATCAAATTCCAAATAAAAATTTCGTTACCAAGCGTCTTGTCTTCTACTGCCACAGTAGCATAAGTCCTACAATTCACAACTGCCTGCCCTCTAAAGTCATTGCTTTCATGGCAACATTTACACATGTATTAGCTGTTTACTGAATGAAATGGAAATTTAAAAAGTTTCGTTATGATTGTCGAATGCATGCATAAACTGCACATATTTGTGCATTTTTGAAAAGATCGTTAATATTTTTTGAAATGTTTTGGCTACTAAAAAATAAATAAGTAGTTCAGAATATAACAAAAACAACTAAGTGATAAAAGTTTTTTATTTCCCAAAGAATGAAAACCAAAACAATATTGTTTTGATAGACGTTTCGTTACTTAATACAAATAGCTTTATGGAAGTATTATTAAACCAGAATTTATAGAAGCCAAGCTTTTATATAGCAACATAATCAACTTAACAGACCCGGTGGACCCAATTAAACAAAATAATATTATTTACAAATTACCCTGCAATGACTGTGAGGTCACCAACATAGGTCAAAGTAGTAGATCGGGGGTAATCAGATTGACGGAACATAAGAATTTGGCTAAGGTAAGAATGGCTGACCCCGAGAAGATAAGTAATTTAGAAAAAAGCTCAGCGATAGCACTGCATGCATTAACACACACACACACACACACAATAGGGTGGGAGAGGGTTAAGATTCTAAGAAGTAATCTATGTAGATGGAGAGAGAGATTGATTACTAAATCCTGGTTCATTGAGTCTACACCCAACACATGCAACAGAAATGACTCAATGCAAATACCAGAAATATGGAAGATATTATCACCACCAGTCAAATCAGAGGAGAATAATAAATAATCTTAAAATTCTATTTTAATTCACGTACACTATAAAATTCTGACAAGTTACTTATTTTGACTATAAAAACACTCGTCTTATTTCCCATCTGACTGTATTTGATCAGTAACACTCATATTATTATTATTTCTGAATATACATTATCCTATATTGATTTTTATTCAAATGTCTAATCATCAATTCCACTCATGTATATAAATGAAGGAAAAACGTTATGTGAGTAACTTCATATGATTATGAGCACTAATTTGTGCTCGAAAGGTGGTCATCAGTTAATATTACTGTGTAACACTCTGTGACTTATCAAAATAAAATCTTATCTATAATGGAGTTATCAGATCTTAACCAATTGACCAACTTGACAACATAAAAATTAACTCATGCTGAAGAACGATGATTGAGTTGCTATGTATAAGCTGAGATCCTTTGAATTCTGGTTGAACAGTACTTTGATAAAGTTGTTAGCAGCGTGGAATAGAGAAACATCAGTAAGGACAATATTGTCTTGTTTTTCATTCACTGGGAAACACAAAAACTTTGGAAAAAATAATGAATATCATACACCTCAATAACCAAATTTTCTCAAATTGATAAAATTGAACCTGCTATGGACATATATAACAAGAAATCACATAATTCTAGAAACCAAGTGAAAAAGATTTTTAAGATTAAGATACCTCCACTTGTATTCTATGACTAACCTCAGCATAGCTCACATACAATCATTGTCTGATTGATTACTGGTGTTAAAGTAACCGTAGCATTGATTGAGATCCGTTAGAGAAACACTGAAAACCAGCAAGTACTGGACAGCTGTTTCATCCTTGTTTTGGAATCTTCATCCGTACCCACCCATCACCTCACCCACTAGGGATCAAACCCACGACCTTCGGGTTAAAATGGGGGCGTGATGAGCGTTCAACTACTTGGACAAAATCCAAGAACCCATGAATTCTGGTCCCTGTCAGTTTTTAAAATATAATGCTACCGCCAGCCAGTGTCATGGAAGAACATTCGTTTTCACACTCAACTTGATGGGCACTTCTGATTATGGCTTCATACTAGGACTCCAAGTAACCTCATCCTATTGGCAGTCATTAGTGAGCATCAGATTAATTTTCAGGGATTTGATTAGTACCAGATTCACACTGATATCTGAAACTAGAATTTATGAGTCACTGCATTCCATCCCACTGGTTGACTGATCATTACGATCCCCTCGGAACCCGAAGATCCTAGGTTCAGTTCGAAGTAGTGTTATTGGTGCGTACTGCTGAAGATTCTCGGACCAGAACGTAATAGCTATCAAGTACTTCCTGGCTTTCATTGGATCTCTAACCGATTTCAGTCCATTATCTAACTTGAAACCGACACCTTATAATTGCAGTAGTACCATTTTGTGAAAAGTCGTCCTATTTCCAGTGGATTACAGAAGAAACTGGTACAGCACGTACTCACTTTTCAAAAGTAATCAAATATCTTGTGAATAGTTTTAATCATTCTAAATGAATCTTAACCGTTATTTAGACTTCATACTTTCTAAATGACACTGAATTCCTTTAAAATTGCATCACAGCTTAAATTCTTGTGCATTTGGTAAGATGGTGAAATATATCAACTCTCTCCTACTGTAAATAGTAAACGAAAGTCAAATCACTGATCCAATTCTCTGAGCTGAGTTAAACCATTTACACCACCGATGAAATCAGTCTCAGACAAGAGAAACAGCCGTTTGATGTTTACATCATCTCAATCTGGCTAAAAAACGCTGCCGGTTGATTTGAGTGTAATCCGACTACTCAAATCGACCTGCCATTGGTCTATAGAAATAAGAAATATTTCCATATCGCCGTAAAAACGAAAGAAGGTCTATTTATAAATCAGGTCCTGAGGTGAAATTGTCAACTTTCTAGTTGACGTATATAGCTGCTTGAATCGACATTCTAATTCCAGAAAGCATTTTCCCAATCGTCGTGGAAGCATCACTTATTTTCTGCGATAAATTAAGCTGTCGTTTATAGCTTTCATTTGGCAGTGATCCTCTCAGGAATCTAATGAAGACTCGGTCTCTGTATATACATAGATATATATTATATATATATATGACAAAAATTCACACCTTTGATAGTTTTCCCATTTAAATTCAAACCAACCGTTCAATGTTTTAAACATTAAGGTACTACTTCCCTGAACGTCGAAGTGTTATTGTCATCTCTTGTCCATAGTGCATAAAACCTTCGCTTTTTTATAATTCTAATTTCCTGTTGATTTTCATCAATAGACATCTCCCTATTGTTCAAAGATTCTCTTAGAATTCACTTGCCTGATAATGGCCAATGGTTAAAAAACGAAAGCTTTAACGTCTCGAAGAATAAGTGGTAGGCTTGAGTATCTTCCCCCCCCCTCCAATCATATTTACTAGAGAGTGTCTCTACACACCTACCTGGTTAGACCAAAATTTAGACATCATGGAATTTCTAGATTTTATTCCTACAAAATATACAATTGGTTTTTATAAATCATTGTATAGTTTACATTTGTTTTAAGATTTTTTCTCCTTGATTCCCTTTTGCTCCGAGTGGAACAATGTGCTTCAAGCTCCAAACTTTTCAGGAACAGTGATATTGCCACTTTCACAGGGCGGAAATGCTAGCCTTACGCTCATCTTTCCGTTCTTTTCTGAGTTTACTATGGACCAGTAAACTAAGCGATGTTTAACAGTGCGTCGTCCGGAAATGTAACTTTCACCGTGTATGTGGCCGGCGAGCAGTCTACCTCTCAACCACCGAACTCTGTAACTCACAAGAAGAGATATATATTAGTAGCACATCGTTAGTTTCTTTTACAACTTTCCGTTTTTATTTTTGTTGTATCATAAAATTGACAAAATGTGAAAAATGTTTAGTCAGTCCACATGAATAAATTTAAGAATGTATTTTTATTTCTACTAAGAGTACTACTCATAAGTAGAATAACTATAATGGATAAATAAAAGAGTGAAACAGTCAATTTCCTATTATTATATCATCATCATTAGTAGATGTTGATAACCATGCACCTTCCATACGCCAAACTGAAAAGGCGTAACTTAATCCTTGATTTTTATGATGTGAATGTGGCACGAGTTCTGACGTTGTTGTTGTTGGTAGTGTTGGTGCTAATGTTGATGTCAGTGGCAGTGAAGTTGTCAATAATGTGGACGTGGAGGAGCCAGAGGAGGCTGAGAAGCTGACGGATATTGATTGTGGTGAAAATGATGATGATGATGAGAACGGTGACGACGCCTCTTTGCATCTTCTCATTTCACTCGATAAATGTTCTTTGTTACTGTTATTTTCGACACAATATATCGACGCAGATGACTCTGATGGGGCTGATGGAGAAGAAGACGATGATAATGACGGAGGTGAACAAGAAGAAGACGCTGATGATGCTGATGACAATGGAGGTTGAATAAAATTGTTGTAAGTGAATCTCCACTTTTGATAACTTTTTGCTTTCGAAGAATACACTCTAGAATACTGTCTGTTAATATCGTCGTCATTATCATTATCATAGACAACGTCTTCATTATTAACGTATCTATTGTTATTATAAAATTTATCTTCACCCAGATTATACTCATTATTTGATTCTAATCTTTTCAGTTTTTCAACTGGATTGTAATGCACATCACATTTCTGAAATGTTGTCATATATGATAATTGTAATTGTGGTGGATCATTTTTGACAATTTTACAATCTGTACATAAATACTTATTATTATTATCATTGGTTGTATAAACTTCTGTAGATAAATCTGCAATGAAATTATTCGATGATGCTGTTGATGATGTTGAAGGTTGCGGCGTAGGCGGATTTTGCTTTGGTAATGATGATGAAGCTGCTTGAAGAACTTGGGATAAAAAATCAATATATCTATATAACCAAAGATAACAAAAAACAAATACAAAAGTTATTCAGTTGAAAAGATAACTCTGATATGATGATACATACCGCTAAATAACTTTGCCTAATTGATGAACTTTTCCTAAGAATGGAAAAGAGAGAAGATTGGGTCAGGCACTAGTAACCACAGCCTGTTGAAGAAAACACGTACACTCCTCATCGATACGGAAACTTAAACCAAGAGCCTGTTGCACAGAAAACATATAGAAATAAATGCGGACAGATTGGACATATGCTGAAGTAACACTCAAGTGACATTACAAACCAGGCCGTCGAGTGGAGACAAAACAGGAGGCGGTGAGTTTGTTGTTAGTCTAAGGACGATTTGGAGAAAATCATGTAAAGAGGAAATTAAAGCTAATGGGAATTTATAAAAATTTTATGTAAAAGTTACATTTCTTCAAATCGCGGAGAAACTGAAATAAATAATCCAGGCATTTTGTACGGAAAACTGGTCCAGCCTTCACGGAAATAATCTAGATTATAACAAAGGTATATATATATATAAGCCCTTGTCCAATCATATCTGAGTCGAAAATTGTGGCAGAGAGCTGATTGCAATAGAGATGTACCGACGAGACTTTATGTTTCACTTGGAACAAAAGGAATGCATCATAATAATGTACTGCTAATTTAAACGAGTAGTTGAAATGCACTGAAAAATATCAACACAGATTACTGACACTATCAGTGGGGTCGTTTATAATCGACCTTGATAGAACCAGCCAAATGAAAACTGACAGAAAATCGAAGAATAATCTTTTCACGCTTATCTGAAACTCTGACCACTAAACGAAGATTCAGAACTTATTAAGCAGCTGAACTCATTTTCAAAAGGGAACGAGATGTACGTCGTCCTGTAAGGCCTCACATCATCGGAACGGTAGTGTTACACTCCAATGTACTTACCATTTTGCATGTATATGTGGCCGCATCACATAGGAAGGATCCATAGATCTCTGTAGATCGAGGCCACAGGACACATCGCTAAACGACTACGGGAATAAATACAATCACCTAATTCAATTAATCTCGGGAAAAGGTGTCCAACGTCATCTGCCTCAAAGCATATCATAAAGACAAGTGATACAGTTCATTTCCTAAGGGATTTTTAACCCATATATGTGAAACAGGTTTAGGTTGGGTCATATACTTAAATTAGTTAAAGCCATAGGCATAAAAAGATGTAAACCTGTTTCATGTATATTCAGAAATTATTTGTCATTACTCTGAACAAAGTCAAGTTCATCTTGATAATATTTCCACCCTCTCCAATTCTTATTTCATTTTCCTATCCCTCATATGTGATCATAATCCGTTGACACTTTAATCCACACTGATAAAAAACTATGATCATTTAAGCTACGTTACCTTTTATATAACAAGTAGAGGTGTGTGTCATAAGAATGTTTGAAATATGTTGCGAAAATACACTACACGTTTCAGATAAATTACGTCTTCTTATTGTTATATTGAAATTCATAAAGATAACTAATTGCTTTAAATTATTTAGAACTTCCCACTTATAAATTATTTTAGGACCAAATTTAAGATCTCATTGATCCCAGCTGATGATTACACCATCAAATATTACATGCTGAAGATATTCGCTGTAGCTGAATACAGTCATCATTTAAAGAATATGCAAAAGAACAACAACTAAGTACTTTTATTTATTCAGGATGGATTTCCTTCCGAATCTACATTGGCTAGAAGAGATGATTAGCGAAAAAAGACGGGAACCAGCAATCTGATTCCCTCTAGTATAAAACTCTTCAACAAGGCCTAACCATAACCGTGTCAAAAATTGAATTAAGGCCTTTAAACTTTTAAAGCCAGCATTGGCTTTAAATCTATAGTTTCTTAATTCTGTTGTTTCGTGACGAAATCTGTCTTGAAATTAATCCAACACTTTAAAACTAATCCACTACTTATTAGAGACTGACAACAGGACTCACTGCTGAACCGATACCCGTGCTGGCTATGCGGACAATTACTCGTCGATGATGATGGACATCGGTGAACTCATATCAGTAACTGACAGAAGTTAGAATTCATGAGATATTACATTCCGATCCGGTGACTGAATGGTTAATATCTTTGACTTGTAACCAAAACGTCCTGAGTTCTATCAATGATGCGATCATGGGTTCTGAACTAGGATGTAGCAGCAGATCAATACTGTGGTTTTCAGTGGTTCTATGACTGATTTCAGTTAATGGTGTAATCTACCTCGAAATCGGTCGAGCTTCCGAGGCCCAACAAATGAAAATAGTAACACAGGCTTGCTGAACGGTTTTTGAACAAATTTATATCTTATTGTACAAGCAATATCATATTTTGATTCCCTTCATTTTTCTTGATTATATTTTGAAGCCAGTAAAAGTGGCATTCCTATTGGTTGAATGCTCAGGGTTAGAAGCCCAAGGTCTCCGTTGCTGTAGTTACAGTAAACATTATCTAGCTCATATTTCTGCTTTCAGACTTATTTCATGCATGTTTTTCTCTGAGGAAAAATTAAAATATCGTAAATAATTTAACGAACAAAAGAAACTTTCTTACCGAGTAGCCAATTTTAGTGTTTGTATTTTACTAAGTTTATCTGACGGTAGTGTTGGAATAATTCGACGTAATTCGGCAAAGGCTTGATTCAGTGATTGTGTGCGTTGTCTCTCACGGACATTAGCCAAAAATCTTTGAGTTTGTAATTCTTCTGATGCAGACGATTTCAATAAATTTGTCGTACTATTTTGATTATTATTATTATTATGATGATGATTTATGGTGTGGTCAGTTTTGTAAGAATTTTTAAAATTTGAACATGGCGGTTTAAATGATTCGTTTGACTTGGTTGTTGATTTGCCACTAGATTTAAATGTTGTTGAACACTGATTCAAATTAGATTCCAATTGATTTTGATCTAAATGATAGTAGAAATGAAATGCTTATTTAGAGAGTATGATAAAAAGCGAACGGAAAGCCATCAAAAACAATAAGCAGAAAAATGTTACTTTGGATTCCAAAAATGTCCTAGTTTCTTCTTTGAATCAGTGTCTGCTAAAAACAGTCATATCGATAAGTAAAATGAGTTAAACAGAAGAAAACACAATGACGTATCTCAAGGAATAGCAGTCCCTTGTATATTTGCGTTTGTGACCAGTAACATTTGTTTTAGGTTGAAGACTTTCATGGCTGCCAGCTGATTGTTAGTAACTGGCCACCTGTTTGAAATTTGTGCCACCGAAATACCCTCCTCATCAATAGCTGCATTCACTCAGTGCTAAGGATCAGAAACGGAGATGTACTGGTCAAAAACCAAAGAGTCCGCTAAGTGAAATCAAGTATCAGGTAAACCCTCGAATGGAATTACAATGAGAAGTGACGAGTTGAGTGTCCGTGGGCGATATGGTGGAAATCGTATTAGGGGTCAACCGTGGAGACAGATTGTATTATTTCATCTGGAGTAACTTTACAAGCATTTCAACCCATCGGTTTTGGAGTCCCCCACAATTTCAAAGGAAATGGGCAATGGAGAAGTATACAGACATAGATGCAATATCTGTCCTTAAGTGAACTTATTATTTTATTATTATTATTCCTTGTATTCCGAATGGAACATCAGGCTTCAACAGCACAACTCCATTTCACTTTTTTCTCTGTATCCCTTTCTAGTTGGCCTCATGATAGCCTATAAAGTTTCATTTCCCCCCCCCCACATGGTCTCCTCTATGCCACCCTCAGATTCAACCCGAACTCGTTACTCGCCTCGTCTTCAGATTCTTTTCGAGAGTCTACCTGACGCACGATTTGACATAAAGGCCTCCTCAGTGTATGTCTGATCCATCTTCATATCTTTCCATATATCTGTTGGGTGATACCTTCTAGTCGGTTACCTATTTACCAGAGTTTCTCATAACTCATCTTTTCTGGTGGGCCATCTGTTCTTCATCATGGGGCGAAGGCAACCGTTGATGAAAGTGGAAACGCCTTACATGATTCACCAAGTCTCAGAATGAATTAGTTAGCATAAACGTACATAGTGGTTTCTTCTTTAGTCTGTAAAAATGGAACAAATCTGAAGGAATAAGAAAATACTGAAAATTTGAGACTGCAAAACATCAATGTTAGGAAAAAGATCATGATTATTGTCCAACCATCTAGTATCATCAAATCAATGTGCACCGTGATGGGGAGCTACCTAGAATGATGGCCACATTGCAAACCTGACTGATAGAATTCAGTCTGGACCAAAGAAGGGACTAGACACATCACACTAGTTACTAGTGTCCAATCAAAGTATACACACCCATGACACCATAAGGGATAGAATCCGGGACTTTCATTTTATCAAGCTAAGCTTGCTGATCATTTACCCAGCTGAATTGGAATTCAATGAACCGCTGATTTGAATTTCTGTCAATTCGTGAATAAAACACTAGCACCAAGTAATACCGCCGATAACCATCCATTTCACGTTGATATGATGTGAAATCCACTAGCCAAGACTTCTTATTACGACCTCAAAACATTCATTTAGTGTTATTTGTGTGACTGTGGCAAACAGTGGAATCCAGGATATTTGAATTTCCTCATATTCGGGACTCGTCAGTTGGATGTAGCTGCATTCCCAATTAAACGATAGTGTTTATACTGACTACAACCCATTATGCATTATTTCAAAGTTGAAAGGTTGAAACTTCCATACTAAGAGGTGACATGTCAACAGAAACTGAACATTTCGCTCCAATTAAAAGTCAGTCGCCGGTCAGTGTAAAATTAACCTGAACAAATTGAAGGCGTCCATTAGTTATAGTTATGTTAAGTTATGCTATTTTACGCACTGTTTTTAATATAAATGCAGCTCTGTTTCACGAATTGGCAGAAGTTAGAGTTCACACTGTCACTGAATAGTCAACCAGCTTCTCCTCATAACGTGAAAGTCTCGAAAATAATCCCTTGTGCGGTTGTGCACGTGCACTGCTAAAGAGCATCATACTAGAACGAGACGTATGTCCAGTGTTACCTGGTTTGCAATGATTCTCCGACTGATGTTGTTTCGTGAAGACATCTACATTGATGTTATTACTATTAACATAATATAATATAAATATTACTACATTTAACTTAAAATACTACCGTATTTCAAGTCAATAAAAACGATCAATACTGATGCGAATTATCAACCAGTTACGAAGAAAGTTGTCAGAAGATGCAATTACTACATTCATAAAGAATTCAGATAAGTTCACTTAACATTAAAGCTTGAGCTGAAGATGATGTCCAGAAGGACAACGAAACCTTAGCAATTAAATTAACCTGCTCAAAGGACACTATATATATATATATATATATATAATTACTAAATGCCATCTACAGGCTCTCATAATCGGTATATAAAAGTCGACTGCTGATGCATAAAAACACTGCTCATATAACTTTTACAGACACACAAGTATTTTTTTTATCAGCTTTGCTGTTAGGTTTGAGTCTCACTGAGAAAAGAGATGGGGTTGGCATTAAGGCATATTCGACTGATGAGTCTTAAAACTGGACGAAACGAGTGCATCATAGATTCCACTGCAGCTAGCCACTATCAATTAAATATATATATATATGCATTTCAAATCTTAACTATTTTATTATAACTATTATTATCCATGAGTTTTGTTATAGGATAGAATTAATATTTTGATATGAAATGTTATCATCAGTTGAAAAAGAACAACAGAGATAAATTTTATGGACAGGATGGACAGCAATCACTGTTTAACACGATTACGGATCAGATAAGAAATGAAGAAACAGATAGGTACATTTCATTAAATCTATTCAACATGTGGTTGTTTTTTCATTTATCAATAATTATGACTGTGCCAGATTTAAATTCTCTCTCTCACATCAGAATCGAATTGATATCAGTGAAATAGACAGATACCAAACATTTGTTTTGTCCATTTCATAGCTCTTTCAAATACTTGTCTCTTATGGTGGCTGGCAGTGGAATGCAACACACACCTTTCGTTCTGTTTGGAACTCATCAACTAAATATATCCACATCCCAGCAAATGAGCGAGTGAGTGAGTGAGTGAGTGATGGTGTTCACAGATGAAACTCAGAACCTGCACCCATCATTTTAAATGCCACTATGTTATCACTTAAACCACTCAGCTATTGTAATCACCTATTTTTCGGTTAGAAAGATTTGAAATTATTTGTTTAAATCTTTTCGGATCTCCACTTGATATATCTGATCGAAAATGATCAGCCTTATTGTGGCACATAGACTGTTTTGGTTTGTATGCTTTGGTACTACTATCACTATTAACTGTCCTTTGGAACAGCATCAGTCATTTGGGATGCAGCCACATCCAGATGACAAGTCCGAAATAGACCTGGATTCCGGAGCTAGTCACCACCAAATCAAGTAACAGTGACTTGGTGACCAACAGGAAATTACAAATATGGACAGAGAGATATAATGGAGAAGATTTGTGGCTCAAGTGGATGATTTTGATGTAGTTGTGTTCGTCAGTTTGAAGTATTCGCTGAAGATGTTGCCTAGTGGAGCAATGAAATCTTTGCAAGTAAATCGTCCAGCTCAGAGAACACAACTACATCAAAATAGATAGACAGTTTGTTCACTTATTTTAGTTTCATTATTCTTAAATGAAGTCAGAAACAGTTAATGTGTAGACTACATAGTCTATTCTCTTTTCATTGTGTTGCATTCCGAATGTGGGATATAGGGCTTCAAACCTTTTAAGAAGAAATTCAGTAGCCATAAGGTTGTCCTTTTTATGCGGTTGAGTTGCTAGCCTCATTTCCAACTTTCTATCCTTAGTAGGTTTGCTATCGGCTGGTAAACCAGGAGGGATGTAGGACTGCATTGGCCAAAAACCAAACCCGGACCACATGCGTAACTGGCAGTTACTCTACCACTGAACCATCAATGCACTGCTAGTCTGTAGACACTCTTAAAAGACGAATTAGTGAACCAGAGAATGTTCTTCTCGATAACTTCTTATTCATCAGGTTGCGCAGTGATAGGCATCCACTATAGTTAAGTGAATAGCTGGTTCTGACAACATAAACATTTTTTAAACAAAACTGAATCAATAAAATCAACAGATTACAGTTAAGGCTATTTGTACGCGATAATATCAATGAATATAACACTAAAATGAATATCAGATAAAGTCTGGTGAGAGCTGTCTACTAGCCAGATTGGTAGACAGTAATTTACGTCAATGTTTACGTTCTCAATATTGGTCGTGAGAAAATATGAACAAGACTGATTCAAAAAACGACCACAGCAGACTTTGCGTAGGCGGATACAGTTAACATATAGATGATCTGACATTCAAGAAACAGTCACAAAGAGATGAAAGATTAACTTTATGTGAGAAACAACCAATCGGAAGACTGTGTTTGTTTGTTTACATATCCATAGTAATGTACATGAAAATATATAAATATGCTTTGATTTCCTTAATAAATGATCTGTTGCCTGGCCCTTGTCTTCTAATGTTACAAAAGTAAGGAGAAAATAATACGAAATTTATGAAAGCCAAAGTAGCATTAGTAACTGGACGTGTTTCTTTTATACACAATGGCTTCTGCTGTTTGCAGTACTCACTATCTTGAGGCCTACAGCATTTTATGCAGTACAGCACAAAAGACAGAAAAGAATTTTTCACTAATCACCACATGGTCCAAATGCACTAGGTGTTGATAGTATTTACTACACTTTTATTTAGCCACACTAGGAGGCCTTCCTGAGCACGAAAAATGAAGTTCCTAGAACAACAGCTGATATGACAGGATTCAAAGGAACAATTGAATTGATAGATGCAAGAAGAGGTCTCTAATCTAAGTACTTTTCTAAATATTTCCATGGATTAGTCACTAAAATTTAACTGG